AAGTTCGAGGGGAAGACTTCACAATATCAATCCCCCCTACCCACCCCCAAAAACAAAGAATGGAATAAGACTAAAAGAGTTGAACTTTACCTGTAAAATCCACCCAACGGATCACTTCCAATACTACCAGCCAAAGCTACATTCAGAGCAGGACCAGCTATTGACTGACCACCAAGCCTGGCCAAGGCAACCAGACTATTAGAAAGTGATCCACCCGCAGCGGCCTTGTAACTGCATCCGTCCATTGCACTCAGAACTTTACCCCTTTCCTCATGATTGACGACCTTTCTAGTACCCTTCTCTAATCCAAGCCTTTCCAGAAACTCATTGTCAACCATTCCAGAAAAATCAACCTGCATAATCACCAAAGAACATCACCACATGAAAGAAGCTAGTACTATAACAAAGAAATATCTGTCTATTGTCTAAACAATGTGAAACTTCGGTGGGAGTGATGACAAACCAAATAAAGCAAAACAGGAAAGTTAATGCCAGATAGGGCAGTGTGATGCATCCTTCCATAATGTAATTCATGAAAGAGAAGATTTGGAAAAACATAAGATAAGAAGACAAAAGGATTATACATAAATCTCACTTATTCTGTATTAGAAATACATCTAAATATAGCTTTAAGGTATTTCAACAACTAAGTGAAAGCAAAACACTATCTATAAGGGAGTAAAAAGCACAGCAATCCTTCAACGTCCTAAAAAGACCCATATGAACTTATATACAAACTTGTTTTCCGGATTCTCCCCTACAATGTAAGAACACCTTAGTATGGGATTAATTAATATCCCCATCATTCACTGTTTGTCATAAAGGGATTACAGAACTGCTCCATTTCATGTATAAGTATAAAACAACACATTCCCTCCGTTATTCGTCTTACTTTGCTTTTCAGTCCATTTAAAAAAGAATGGTTCTTTACTCTCTTTTTTTGGCAATTCTGGTACATTCCACAAGATGTGCTAACTCAAAACTAGACAATCAAATTAAAAACGGAGGGAGTGCATTCTAACAGTTGAGCATCCTCTAAAACATTCCTACTAACAATAAGTACAAAATGAAAAGGGGGTGCAAGGGAATTTACCATAGCTTGGCCAAGACCCAAAACATCCCATCTTTGAGGAAGATCAGAATTCGAATAACCCACATCTTCCTCATCAACAATCAACACTTGGTCTTCATCGTCAGTCTCAGCCCCTTGTTCATCATTTTCACCTGACCCAACCTCCGAGCTTTCCCCATCAGAATTTCTACCAGAAGCGGAAAATTCAGATTCAAAGGAAGACGAAAAAGCCCTCGGAACCACATAATCGGCAACCGACATAGAACAACCCGAAGAAACGAAAGAACACGAACTGGAACCGAAATTTCTATAGATTGACGCAACATGACTAAAATTAGACTGATTCCTCAAAAGGGTTAGTAGAGAAGACGGCGGAGATGAAGTTTCGGAAGAGAAAAAGGAAGGAAAAGTTCTGGAAACTATAGAAGATGAAGAAGAAGATAAGGAGATGAGAGAAAAAGACATGTTTTTTTTGTTCAAGAAGGAGTACTATTTAGGGATGAAATCAATAATAGAAAAAACGGTATTTATGGGTTTTTAATGTGCTGATTACAATGAAAAACGAAGCTCCGTTCGAATCTGGTGTCCGCCGTCTTCTTCGCAGGGAGTAGAGAGCTTACTTTGCCTGCGTGCTGAGGGCCTCAGGCTCCGGTCACCGTGAACGTGGGACGAAGTGTATCGCTACTTTATCATCAACTACCTAGACGACGATATTATATTAGTATTTGTTTTGGATAAAGTTTTTATTACTATTTACTATTATTATTATAGCCTACGTTATTTCTTTCCTTTCACCTTTTTTCTTCTATTTTTGAAATTCTTCTCTAATTTTATTTGTCCAATTTTATTATATCAAGAATATAAGAAAAAATGAGGAAGAAAACCGCACAAAATCAATAAATAAAACACTACTTTTAAAAAAATTACACAATCATGCATTATTTCTTGATTTTCTTAGCAGATCGCATAATCTTTTTTCGTTCTCATTCTCACTCTCACTCTTTCATCTCTCTCAAATTTCCCTTTTTCTTAGTCGCCTTTCTCTTCACATCTTCTTGTCCTTCTTCAATGATAGTTACGTTGATCGATTAAGATTGATCGTATTACCAATCAATTGCAAGTCAAAATTTGAAGGATAAAGTTGAAAATCATATTCGAATACTTGATGTTGTAAGTCAAAAAGGATGATATTGTTATTCCATTTTATGTAACGAATATAATCGATATTATTGTAGTGAATCTTGGTGGTTTCTAGTATATCTTCTTCTTCTTTAAAATATATATTTACATAAAAATACACTTGATACATTAGTGTACATTTATGAACGTATCCGTGCATATTTGTTATCATATGCATGTTTTATGCATTTGGTTCATCAAATCGATATTAGATACACTAAATGAAATAAACATTGGTTACAACTACGTTGGTAATTGTGAGACTGATATGGGATGCACAGTTACATTTGTAGAAATTGATACAAGCTTATGCATATATGTCAAAGACATATTTTCAAAACTGATATTGGATAGACATGCACACTTGTAGAAATTGATACAAACTTTTGCATATATAGCCAAGGCAAAAGGGACAAATATACCCCCGAACTATCGTAAATGGTATGCAAATACCCTCCGTCATATTTTTGGGACATTGGTGCCCTTGCCGTCCAAAAACTAAAGCATATATGCCCTTCACTCTAATGGAAGACTAAATAGGGACACGTGGCGCAATCTTATCCGCCGATAAATGTCGGATCGGTGGATAAGATTATGACACGTGTATGTCTATTAGTATAAAGGGTATATATGCTCTAGTTTTTGGACTGCAGGGTCACCAATGTCCCAAAAGTATGAAGAAGGGTATTTGCATACCATTTACGATAGTTCGGGGGTATATTTGTCCTTTTTCCCTATAGCCAAATATATGCTTTAACATTCTTTTGAATACACTTGTATACATTGATATTGGATACACAAATACATGATATTGTATAACACAAATACATGATATTGTATAACACAAATGCTTTAAAATAAAATACATCGAAGGAGGGGAACAAGAGAGAGGGGCAAGCAAGACATGCAAATGCATCCATGGTGCATGTGAATCACGCTTCAGTTTTTGAAATTATCGTTTCGCTGATTATTTAACATATATACTAGAATATTTTATAAAAGGAAAAATTATGCGAAATGACAAACATCTAGAGTATATTATATAATATAACTATAGTTTCGATTATTTTTAATCCATGGCTATAGTTTCACAAAATTTTGCTATTCGGTTTTTTAATTGTATAAATCCATAATTTGTATAATTTGATCCCTGATTGTATAAATATGAAATTTGTATATGCTAACCCTAGGTATTTGTATACAATTTATGAAAAATTCATAATATATTACCTTGTTTGTATATTGGCAAGCGAAATATACAACGGTGTTCTAAAAAATTCCTAAATGTATAAATACATAATTTGTATATGCTTACCCTATTTATATATTCACAAGCGAAATATACAAACGAACAAGCAGAATATACAAATTGTAGCCTCCATTTGTATATACTTACCCTGCTTGTATATTTGCAAACGAAATTTACAAACGATCAAGAGAAATATACAAACCGCAGCTTCCATAGCAAACAAAACTATAACTATGGAACACAATTATTGAATCTATAGCTATAAATCCTTATTATATCTATTATGTTTGTTATTTCTGAATATTTTTGTTTATAAAATTTGTTCAAATACAATTGGATAGACCTTCTAGCAGGCCCATAGAAATCCATGTGTATTTTGATTTCTGAACTTTGTTTTGTTTGAACTGCAACACAAATGTTTTTAAACTTTTTTATATTTAATTAAATTATTTTTTTCTTATAATTAACAACTTAATATTTAATCAAATAAAGAGTCCAAGAGTTGCGTATCGGTCGGTTCGATTCGGTTTTGAAGTATATCGGTTTGACTTATTGGTTATCGGTTTCTAGAAATGCAAAACCGTTATAGAAAACATTAAGATATTGGCTTATCGGGTAGTGGTTTATCAGTTATTGATAGTTATCGATTTAATCGTTAAGATTTGACACAAAAACAAATTAATAAAAAATCACTTAGAAACAAGGTGACAAATTGAATGAATCATGTACATGAATTCACAAGTTGCATCTTGTTCAAAAGCAAACATTTTTACATTGTAGAATAACCAAGATTATGACATAGCCAGAAATAAAAGTAGGAAACTAAATTTTAAGTTAAGGACTTTTATATACAAAATGGTATAAATATAATTATTTAATTTACTAATCGGTTTACCGATTAAGAAAACCTCAAACCATTAAGAATCATAACCCGATAACAAAAAAGATCAAAACCGTTATCTAAACCGCTAAAATCAATAACCCATTATTGATAGACCAATAACTTTTTTTGGTTCGGATTATGAATTTCGATTCGTTTTTGAACCGGCATAAATTGGGTTAGATCAGAATTGTGCGCGATAAATGGTGAAGTTGGGACATGGCGGAAAAAGCAGGAAAAACAGCGGGAGTGGAAGCAGAAGGGAATCGGAGCAGAGAGAAAGTATGCAAGAGATGCAAACAGATATATGATTCAGCTTCTAACAACTCTAATTCATGTCGATTTCATCCTTCTTTCTTTGTGTGTCGCCGTCACGACGATCAGAAAAGGTATCACTTGTCTGTTTTAGCTCTCTATTTTTTGTTTTTCTGCCTAATCGTTTCTTTCACGGATCAAAATCTTATCAGTTTCATATATTAGTTGAGTGCTGTTTATTAGGACAGTCGGCAGATATATCAAATTGATTAATTTAGTTGGGGTCTGGTGAATTGTTTTGATATATTCAGATCCATTTCGTTCAAATGAGGAATAATTTGTCTTCTTAACGAAAATTAGGGGTGTCAACGGGCTATTACTGCAACTGCTTGTGTGCTTTGTGATTTCACAATTGTATCACAAAGGCATGGGGTTATTTATGAGGGTGAAGTGCTAATTGGACATGCCTTTAGTTGGACTATGCCAGTAATTTTTGTTTGTATTATTTTTAAGAATATTAGCAATTAGGGATATGCTTAGCTTGTTTAAATTGTTTTAGATATGATAGGTGTAATTTATGCTTGTTTTTTGGCTATGTTGCTTGGATTCTTCAAAAGTAGTGCATTTTGGAGAATCAGACACGGCCGCAGCAACAATTTTGGAGAGTCCAGCAACATGGGTATTAGAGATCCAGAGAGAACTCTAGCATTGTCCGGCTACTCTTTGATAGGAACACAAAAATAATGCAGTCTCTAGTGCACCCAACAGAAAGAAAAACATGTTTTTCCCCATTTTCATTGACTCCCATCTTGAAAAGATATTACTGTCGTAGGTTCGTTTGTAGTGCCCCTTTATTATATGCTGAGATACTAGAGTAGAGATTTTGTATGAGCTAACTTTTGTGCCAAATAACATTAGCCAGGTAAATTTACCTCCTTAGTTAGGTTGCTCTAGGATTTATTGCCAAAGACATTGAATCTTGATGCTGCCAATACGTAGCATGGAACGTTTTAAATTTTAATAGAAGAAGTGAAGATCTCTTAGGGGGTGTGGAAAAATAGTAATTATTGATTATAGATGATTAGATTTTTTCATATACTTTGTGTTTTGCAATGTCAAATGAATTAAGAGTCGATATCAAGTGATGCACGGATGTAGCTTGTGTAAATCTGATTGTGATACATACCAAACATCTGCTATCCAATGACCTTACCTTTAATATTTCTTAGACTTCACCGTGTCATATAAAGATCAACAACAACGACATACCCAGTGTAATCATATAAAGATCATTGCACTAATATACTTGAATTCAATTGATGCCCCTCCCAATATTGCGGGAGTCCTGCCAGAAAATCTTTGTTAGAACTTAAAAGAGATGATCAATACCAATCTTTACGTACTTAAGTTTTATCTACCTGCTCTCAATGAATAGGAATGAATTTCACTCAGAACTTCCCAAAAGAATACTTTAAGTTACATCAAGTACAACTATTCCTTTTAACTGGAAGTTCATGTTGCCTGCCACCTGGTACCACTATCGGCCATCTAGATCAAGAAGTTCTTTTTTCCCTCTTCTGGAAGGAGTCAGAACATCTACTTATCTAATCTCATTTATGATAATCATGGTATATATATCTATCATGTGACAACCATAACTTTTTCTGCACATCGTACATAGTATACAGAAACAAGGTTTTCAATTATATTGAGTGAAAGAACGAAGGAGAAGTGATGTGAAATAGTAAGTGCAATGAGATTCAGTGAGTTTTTTCGTTAAGAGTCTGCTACTTAAGTGGAGAAGGATAGAGGGCGCCAGGCAGTCCCATTTTCCACTGAGTTCCTAACCATGCGTCCTCAAGGATTTCTCGGTATAAAAGAAGTTCCATTATGAAACAGTAATTTTGTGGCCAAAGAGTAATGATATCTTCAGGATGAGGAGGCCTGACATTTCCATCTTCCAAGGGGCTGCTATCCTTTACCAATCAACTCATCCTAATTCCTAGGTGCCCTGTTTTAATATTCTTAGTGGCTTCTATCCCCCCTGTTTTATCTTCTTAGTGGTTGCTAACCCCTACCAATCAACTCATGTTAAATCAATCTCTTCATCTCATTAAGTATTGACTACGGCAAAGTTCCCTGCAAACACTCATATACATTGCTAGGGAAGGACTCATCTGGACACTATAGGATGGCAGTTTCATACTAGTTTACCGCTTCTCATAGATCCACTGGTTTATATGTTTGCAGTTTACAAAGTCTAAAACAAGAGTCTGTCAAGGGGCTGCTATCCTTTACCAATCAACTCATCCTAATTCCTAGGTGCCCTGTTTTAATATTCTTAGTGGCTTCTATCCCCCCTGTTTTATCTTCTTAGTGGTTGCTAACCCCTACCAATCAACTCATGTTAAATCAATCTCTTCATCTCATTAAGTATTGACTACGGCAAAGTTCCCTGCAAACACTCATATACATTGCTAGGGAAGGACTCATCTGGACACTATAGGATGGCAGTTTCATACTAGTTTACCGCTTCTCATAGATCCACTGGTTTATATGTTTGCAGTTTACAAAGTCTAAAACAAGAGTCTGTGTTTTAAAATTAACCTGGGAAGGTTATTGCAACATAGATTTCAAGATGATCACGTTTATAGAGCCGAGGAAGTAGGGACGACTCTAATAACCTAAATATTTGATTTGTGTGCTCAGTTTTTAAATGAAATTGTATACAGTTTATTTCCAAAATATGCTGGGTTAATGGTTCCCCGTTGATGTGCATAAGACTTGTAACTATTGTCAGCAAGTTGGGTTGAGCACAATAGTTTACTTGTGAATGCTTCAATGAAGGTGCTGCAGATTTTCCTTTTATGTTCAGGGGGTAAGATCCTTTTGTTTGTTTTAGAAACTTGAGCACCCATAATGATTTCACTTGTAGAATTGGAAACTGCTGAAGTCCATAGACACAACTCTTGTGACATGAGTTTCCGTGCTAACTACTTGACACTGCATCCCGCTAGATACAAGAAGAACAAGCCACACAGCAACTTATCTTAATCCCACATAGATTCACTCTGTATCATAATTAGTCTGGGTGTTACATCAGTGAATAACAAAGACAAAAGAAAAATGCTAGTCTGATATTTTTGAATTTAATTCCTTTTCACATCCTTGCTTTTTAATCTTTTGGCACTTTGCACCTTACTTCTTACTCCCTTTTGAGAAATTCCACCCGACTGACAAGAAAAAATAAATGTGCATACATGATTTTGTGTGTGAAAAGGTGTGTTTCTTCTAGAGGTGCAGCTCTAAGTTGTTATTCTCTTTCAGCAGTGAACTTAGACCAGTTTCAGTGAAACTGAGACAGCCTACTGTTATTTTCCTCTTATAAGAAATGAGAACATCTGTAAACCTTTGGATCTACTGGATTGATGCACCGTTATATAACTTGATAGAGGCTTATAGGCTCGCCATTACTCATTCAGTGTCAACACTGCTCATATGAATTTATGTAGCCCGTCCAACCCTCAAAACTTTGGCAGGTGGAATTAGAAATATTTATTGGGCCAATTTAGAGAAAACTCAAATTAACTCATTTAAAAGTTTGGTAGTTCAAAATGACCCTCCGGAGACTTCGTCAAACAATAGAAAAAGGTTTCTCCAATCTCATCCACTTTTTCTCTCTATATATAATTAACAAAAAAGTTGTTTTAGTTTGTGGTAATTAAACTAATTATAAACCAAAACAGAGGTCAAACAAATGACAAAATGGTTTAAGTTGGGTGTGATGGTTATGAGTTATGACCCATTATTTAGCCCAAAACTGACCCCAATCATCTTCACCCGACAACCTAATTTAACTGGTTTTACTTGATAAGGTGGCATTCCTTTGTCTAAGGAGGCTCAAAAGGAAATCTTGGCTGGGTCTGGCTTAAAACAGTAAGGGAATTACGGGCAAATCCTAGACCCCTTTTAATTTGTTCAAAGCAAGGTCCACCATCCTGATCAATCAATCAACTACACTTCAATCCCAAACTAGTTCGGCATAGCTTCAAATGTTCAAATCTCATTAAAATTTTAAAATGGAAAAGAAGATGGGAAATGGGAAAAGGAAAAAAAACTGGTGCAGGAACGTATGCAGAATTGCAGTTGGCTTACTTGTTCTGTCTACTCTAGTGAGATTGATAATCTACCCCTGGGCTGCAGTATACTCTAGTAACAGTTTTACTTGGTTGTATTGATTGCAAAAATGACAAGAATCTCATAGTTTTGATGAAAACGAGAATATGAGGATGGCATTACTTTCATGCTAGAAAGATAACATTAACTATTAACCTGTAAATTCTACCACTTCACTTTCTTGTATTAGTATATCCATGGCTGATTTTCCTCCATATCTATTCACTATGTGGGAGTGGTATTTCTATATTTATATCATGCAAGATAGTTTCTCAAGGATGGTTGGCTAGTTGATAGTCTCTGCCTTCTTTTCTCTTTGTAGGTATTACGAACTAGGACCAGACGATCCTCCTTATGCTGCCAAGTTTTATGATTGCTGCGGAGCTGAAGATCCTCAAGCAAGTGGCTGTACCACCAATTTCCATGTTTCATATGATGATGAGTAGGAAGATTCTCATGGTTTGTTATGTAACCTTTCTGTAAATTAGAAACTGTCTGTACCTGAAAGAATTTTGCCCTTTGATCTGAAATGGACAGTCTCCACATGGTATATGTAATTATATACAGAAAAATAATGTTCGACGTTTCTGGGGATTAGGTATTGCTCAGCCTTACTGATAATCGAAAAGATATAGTAATAGTTCTAACATTAAACCACTAAATTACATATTGTTATCTTCTTGGCTTAACAAAGATGCCAAATGAAATCACCACTTGTGAGTTGTGATATGATAAAGTTGGTTTAAGACAAAAGAAATGTAATATAGTATGAGATAAAATGCAACCAGAATAGGTTGTTGACAACTATAATGAAGAAACATGAACTTGATAGATCTAGTTTTTTGCAACTTTTTTATATTGTTAACTGAATCTGATTTGAAAGCAGGTGCATAAGCCAGCTCATTTAGAGATTCTACTGAACAAAATAGTTATAGTAATAGCAACTACTACTTTATATTGCCCCAACTTGCTTAGCTGGATAAGCAAGAAACAACTAGTATCACACAACATTCGATACCCACATTGGAGTTTAGTCTAGACTAATCTGGATTCGCATCAGGTAGAGCTTTGTTCGGAGAGTAACGCTTCCTACCTAGGATTTTTTTAGGATTTGAATTCGAGACTTCTGATTAAGGGAGGAAGTCTCATTTACTGCACCACTTTCTTTGGTGGTAACATTCTTAGCTTTACTAGATAAGTCATGAATTTTGCTTCAAACTTTTAAAGTTAAAAAAGGACATTCATGTCTACTTATCATCTTCTTTCATTAAAAATTGAAGTTGACAATTCACTTGTAGCAACAAAAATAAAAATTGATCAAAATATTTATTTATAAAATAAAAGATTTTTAATGTTGACAGCAGAGATAACATGCATCCCACCAATTGAGAGAGAGAGAGAGTGAAAGGCTATTTGTGGCGTGGTACACCTTGTCTTTGTCTGTCCCCACGTTTTAGCTTTACTATTTTTTCTTCTATAGTTTTGTAATTTTATGGTCACTATACTCATTGTTGACTCTCTAATCTCTTTTTAAGATTTTTATATTTGACTATGGTATTGTCTCGATTAGCTCAACCACACTTTAACTATTTCTTTATGTATTATTGATATAGATATCAAGTAATTGTGTCCATCAAATATACGTGAATTAAGTTTTTGTAGAAAGATTTACCGTCGAAGATTAGGATTGATGGTTAGGTAATCTGACATTATTTGTTGTCTTTTTGGTATTGTTATTATTATTTTCTTAATATCTTATTTTTTGATTTTAGTGTTATATGTTGTTTCCTTTGTTTCAATTATCGTACTATTTGTTGTTGCTATTGTTCTCTTCTTCATTATTTTCAACATGATTTCTTCACTACTATATTTGTCTTACATACTTATTTTTTAAAATATGTCTTACTTGAGCCAATGGTTTATCGAAGAGAGTCTCTACCTTCCAAGGTAGGAATGAGATTGCGTGTGCACCTACATTACAAGA